CGCTACGCCACGCCGGTAGACCTAATAGGGTTGCTGCATCCCCCTTAGTATAAGCTCTACAAGTCTCTCGCAATTCACAAATTGCTTTCCGATATCGTGGAGTAGACGGCGGTGGTGCCGGCAGTCGGTCGTCGGAGTCGGTTCGAGGTGGTTCTCGTCTGGTAGCGTCTCTCCTCACGCTACTCGAGAGTGAACAACGCGCGCACGAGCGTTTAGTCAACATCAACACAAAACCCTCGTACTCTCTTCACTATACGGACAATTCGGCGCGTTTGTTGTATGTGCAATAAAAACACCGCTGATGATTCGGATAAAGATTAAGATTAAAATCTAATCACACGCGATTGCGTCTTTTTTGCGCCACAGTTCGGGTGAGTGTTCCGTGTGTGTGAATGGCGGTGTTGTGACTTGGAATTTCGTTCTCTTCGCGCGCCTTTTTGTGCCACATTGTTAGTGTTCTTTTTCTGTGTGTATGTGCGCGCGCGCCCTTGCTGTGATTATTTGTTGAGTGCTATCGCTTGTTGATTTAGCTATTTGTGTGGCGGCGTGCGAGGTATTTGTTTACAACATTCCACGTGGTCGCCGGTGGTGTTGGTATTTTGGAACAACTTCTTCAACACTGAAGGTACACTAGATTACGTATTATGGGTACTTAGTAATTTCGACTCAACGACTCATACTTACCACGCGCTACCCCGCATGGATAAAATATTTCAAGTGTCCGTGTTGGTTTTTGTATCGCGCTTTGCCTGCTCTCTTGTCGTGTCTCTTTTTTGGGTTTCTCCGAGTGCCATGCGGTTCGCTTGGAACGCTCGACATGCGTTCGCTTAATAGGGATAATAATATTCGGATTGAATAGTCCTTGTTATATTACGGTTTGTGTATTGGTCCGCTGCTGGCTGCTTCCAAGAATTCCGACGTTTTGGGACCGTGAAAGACTACCCGAGCAAAGGACCCCATTAGAAGAGAAGAAATGAACAAAAACTAACTTACCACCTGCTATTCTGGTTTTTATGCATACTGTGCTTATGCGTTTAAGCTCGTTTAACTATTTTTAAGTCTCATGGGACTTGTACCAATATTTTGTGTGCGAATTTTTCAATATTTACCCGCTCACAATGCAAGACTAATTGCGCGGGCAATAGCAGTTTTAATTAATTTACATATTTACATTTATAGTTAAATTCTGGATATAATTTAATGAAATCGCATTCCAGAAAGTCCATCTGTACCCGACGTGTACAGCAATAATTAGTGGATTAGCTACACACAGTGTTCGTGATTGTTGCAGCTGGTTTAGTAATTAATTTTCAATGTTATATTTTCATAATTATATAGGCTAATACCAATATCTTTGTTATCCGCGGGGTATAATTGATTATAGAAAATTTCATCTAACCCTTTACCCTTCTCAAATACCCCAATTTCGATTAAAACTCGTCTTCCCTCTGTCCCATGGCTTCCCGCTCTTCCTCGGGCTGATATCAAAATATTCGTTAAACGAATCTCCCTCCAACCACGGCCAGACTCCAAACACATTCATAGCTGCTTCGCGCGCTTCGTCTTCCTCCCGCACGCACCCATCTAAACCAACCCTTCATTACTAATTGAAATAATTTCATTTAATCAACTAATTGCGAGCACGTTATAACGTATTTTACGTATTTGTGGAATTTATTCAATATTAATGCTTAATTACTTCTGGAGCACGCGTAAAAAATTAGTTCACGGGCTGCAAATGAACAATCATAGAAAATAGAAAAATTTACACAAATGGGCGTGCTTTGCGAAATTAAAACAAATTAAAAATAAATTTACTGGGGATCGGTTTCAATTTTCCTATATATTTAATAAAGCGTGTTACATGCGTGTGCGGCAGAGGGATGGAGAGGGGGCGTCGCTTTTTAAAACGCAATTACCGCTTCCCTCGTTGCCTAACATAATTACGCTTTTCTTTATTCTCGTATATTCTGTGCGTTAAAAAATTGGTACGACCCCCTACTCAATGAAATCGCCATTCTATCACACGGTGCGTACTCCGCAACCACCCCCGAGTAGCTTTCTCGTTATAATTTGTACGCCGGGCTCGCGCGCGCCGCCCGCACCCTACACCCGCACCGTTTTCTCCCACTCCATCGCTCCTCCACCCTTAATTCGGAGATTGTAACGCAATATCGCTCGTATTACGATTACGGCGTCGGCGTCGCGCCACCCACAACACTTCACAAATACATTCGCAGGGCGTAATTTATGTTATTTAATTACCAGCCTCTATAATAAGCTACGGAGCGACTAATATAAATTAAGTCATAACCGCACGCGCGCTATGTTTAATTGATTAACCATCACGGGTGACAAATGCAATCAGTGTATGGGTATAAATATAACTCGTTTTTAATCTGAATTTATTGTGAACTGATTGCTAACACTTGAAGAAATCAGACGCGAATTCCCTCGAACCGGTCCTGGCCTGGCGATACTCGTGCCTCAAAGTCCCGTTCCGAATTAATATTTTATTATATATGGCAGACGCATAAATTACGCCAGGTATTCGTGTACCCAATGCCTTCACAATAGCATAACTTGCATATTAAGTCATTCGTGCACGGTGCGCGGAATGTGTCATGTGTGAACTAGAAATATTTTAGATTACAATACACTACAGACTACCGAATAAAATTGATAAAATATAGCCCAATTATTCTAACATTTATTACCACTCTGGAATGCATAGTTTGCAATCGACTTTATTCTATATCTATACGAATGTAGCAGACATGTAGCAAAACGTTCGTTTTATTCATTTTCTCGTGCAATATCTGTATTTGCGTTGTCTGACTGCTTTTTTAAATTCAGTTTTCTCCGGCTACATATCACTCGCTATACACATACACACTCATGTGCGCATTGTTTCGTTAATTCGTGAAATTTTTGTTTTGTTTAATCGAATATTTCCCCAGCAATGCATGTGCTTTTTCTACGGGCTTGGATTATGGGATATTTCTGCGCGCACTAGCAAACGATATTTCACTGCCAAGTGCGATACGGGGGCGTCGTGAGTGCGTTCGGATTGGAAATTAAAAATAATATTGTTAAAATCATATTTATTCCGTGCGCCACCAAAAATCTGCGTTCCGTTGCTCTGCTGCTGCAGCTTGAAATGAATCATAAAAAAACGGACAAGAAGGTATAAAAGAATAATGAGTGAATAATGCTGTCCGTGTGGAAGGTGGATAATTGAATAAAAACACTTACATGATTGCGATTGGGGTAGAATAATTGATGTTAGTATCTTTGCGCTCTTGCTTCTAACGAATTTGTGCTAAACCAATCACAATCTATATTCTTTCCGTGGACTTTTGTAATTTGATTTGATGTATCATGTAAAATGATAGAAATGATGATGAATTAAACTACGAACGTCATCCATTAAATAATTAACATTCATTATGTGAAGGACTAAACATGACAAGTCTTTAGAGTGTGCACATTCATGTTTGGTGACTTTTCTAATTAAATTAATTTAATTTAATGAATTAAATCTATTAAATAAATGAAATAATTAATTAAAGAACGCGCACACACGCACGCATTGTTATTGAATGTTTGCTTCATAGGTCGCTTTTAATAGATGAGCGTTTAAGTCATTGTAACCTGGCGTAGGGGAACGGGGACAGCAGATGTTATTAAAAAATCCATTTAATGAAACTCATAAATACTGACATTACCCTACGCAATGACACGCCGATGCGATATATTTAATAAGGGTGCATCCAAACAGACGTGCATAATAAGAAGTTCGGTGCCGTTGGGGGTGTCGTTCGTGGAATGACACTTTTAATAACAATAATAGCTTTGAGTTATGTTGTGTTTTTTCTTCTTCTCCTCTGACTTCTTTGCTGATATTAAAATATAACGTCTGTATTGCAATTGTACTTTAACCGAGCGTTTCGGTTGTTTTCACCCGATTCAAAGAGTGTGCCGGGTATGATGATGGTGTATGTGGTATGAAATTAAATGCCCCTATAATTAAACCGAATCTCAACTGCGACTCTCACCGTCGCCGCGCCGCTTTTGTCGGCAGGGACAGGTATACGTATACAATATCCTCTATTGCAGCGCCTAGTCGGCGGCGTGGGATGGCTCGGGTTGTCTTCTATTCTCTCGCCGGTGGATGACGGTTGTCGACGGCTGGAGAAGGTAGCGCACAGGCATATTGGGGGCGTGCGGGCGAATGACGACGTTGGTTACACGCTTGCTTATTATTATTTCCCATTTTGCCAAACCGCAAATTAGTTAAGTGTAAAGTTTCCTCATAACGCATCGCATTACAGTTTAAATATACCTTTGTGTGTATGAGTGTGTGGGGATAATTAGATTTCTTAGGTCAAAAATCTAAACATACTATCATAAGTTTGCAGTTGGCTATTTGGGCAAATCAGTGTTTTCTTGGAAAATTAAATCAGACTGGAGGGTGTGTAGATGAAGCGCCACGTCGTGGTATTAATAATAATTTATCGGAAAGATTGTGGGGGTTGTTGGTAAGTGCGGCACGCTCGATAATGTAATTAGAGCGAAACCGCGGGCGGAATTAAACGAGAAAACCAGTGTAATTAGAATGGGAAAGTCTTTCAGGTCTCAAACATGCATCGCGGAGGCGCGTCTCTCGCGCCTGAGACAGAGACGGCAATTTGAACAAACCCAAGTAAAATAGCACGTAAATGATGTTACCGACTTGAGAGGAATCCTTCCGCGAAAGACGGCCATAAAGATTTTGATAGCACCAAAACCGAAAGCCAAACGAGTTTTAACACATTTCCACTCGTTGTACCAACTCGACACATTTCGGCCGTTCTGTGTGATTTCTTTCTTGATTTATTTATGTTTCAATATTCTACGGAAAGCGTAAATGCTCATTCTTGTACCACAAGCCTATTTGCTTGTTACATTATTGTTCTTTGTGAGTGGTGGTACTAATGCAGCTTGCTTTATTGTTGCAGGAGTCGTTCGCAAAAGGACAGCGTACCTAGGGAGTGAGTGAGTGAGAGAATTCGCAGGAATCGAGTGCGATTCATTGTTTCGTCACGGGTGTAGGCGCTCCGTAAGGCGCTTCAAACCGTCAAGCTGGCAGCCAGTGCATTAGCGGCGATGAACCCCCATTATCACCCGTACGGTGGTTCGGAGCTGACGTCTCCGCATCCACCGTCACCGGACAACAATAATTACCATTCGGGCCATCCCGGCTCGGGACCTCCCCACATGCACCCCACCAATGGACACACAATGGGACCATTAGGTAAATTTACACGTTTTACTCCTGAAATAAGGAGTAAGGACTAAATTTTTGGTCCCCCCAGGGAATTTAGATGCGGTGGTGGGCGGGGATCGTCTGTAAGCAGCAAATGCAAACACGTCACGTAACGTGCACACTAATTAATCACGTTATTAATACTAATTGCTCGATTGATAATGGCAGAGATCGTTATATAGTTCTGACAATAACCAATCTGCCATTAATTATACACGATCCGCCATTAATCCTAACAACCAACAACCTATTTCTAATTACCACCCATCAAACTACGGCGATTCGAGATTGAATGGCGGCGCGGGCACTCCGCATCCAATCTATCCGCCCTCCCCGCCGTCGTCCATCGCCACCGGCGAAATTAATTATCTTTTTGCCGCGCTCTCTCAATCGATGCGGTGCACACGCGTGCGTTTTGTGTGTGTATCTATGATCCGGACTGAATTTGGCTTGCTTTCAGGACATCAAGGCGGGCCGCACGAGTCGCACCAGCACCACCAACACCCGGCGTTTGGCAGCGGAGGCGGAGGCGGTGGTGGCCCACCGCCGTCCTCGAATCAGCACCACCAGCACCAGCATACGACAGTGAACAACAATAACAATAATACGGTCAAGGTGTGCGCGGGTTGTGGTGGCAAAATCGTCGAACGTTTCCTCCTGCACGCGTTAGATCGTTACTGGCACAACGGTTGCTTGAAATGCTCGTGTTGCGGCGCCATGCTGGCCGACATCGGCTCGTCTTGTTTCACGAAGGGCGGCATGATATTATGTAAACAGGATTACATGAGGTAAATATGCATCTGCTAATCATATTTCGTACATTACATGGAAATCATTTTAAGCGTCGCACCGTCGGCTTAAGATTTAATCGCTTTGATAGACATCGCCGCGTCGCGTCGCAGCGTTATTAATACTTGACACTAAAAATATCTCGAATATATTTTTGCCATTGAAACATACGTTTGCAATCACAAGGAACGATTCAAATACAAAAATAAAATTCGAATATGTGTGGCAATACAGTTATTTTGTTAAGTTTAAAGATATACTCGTTGCGTTTTGGTTAGGACGAGTATAAACCTAATTTATAACAGTATAATGGCGTGTGTCCAATGTTGACGCAAAGTGTTCATGTTCTCGTGTTATCATTTCGGACAAGAGACATATTTTTAGATTTAGTGCATTTGATAAAAGCTTTTTTACATGTTCACTGATGTCACCATTGATTTTAATACAATTATTTACTCAGAACAAGTGCAATGAATCATGCTATATTGTACGTTTGTAACGTGTGATTAAAAAAATTAAGAAATTCACTTGTCAAAAATAGGTCGAGAAATAAACATATGCTTTATGATGATTAAACTGTCGAGTTGATTGGAGCTTTTGGCATGTCGGCCTTTTTAAAACATCGATCTGCATTGCGGTTTGTTTAGAGCCGTCTAATTTATTAGCATAACTTGAATACGCGCCGCGACTTGTATCGATCGACCACGACCACCTTCATAACGTTCGCACACTCCGTAACCCATTTCAAAGAGTTCACAGTTTGCAGCCGAGTGCGAAACATTACCAGTTTATTAAGTTTACAAGGATTTTAAGCTGTAAAAAAACATAAGATATAAATTTATGAAATAAGTAAATTTGCAAATTGCTTTATCGACGTTGTGGGTTGAAATTGGTGGTGAATTTCACCCCAAAAAGGACTGCCTTGTATCTGAATGTGCTGGTCTGTGTCGGTGGTAGGAAAGCTTGACGAGTTGTGATGTAGCGCGCCCGACGCGGTTGCGAAAAGCTCCGGGCACAATCAGCTCTGCTTGATGCATCCAATCAGGCCGACTTTTTTCCACGTGCACATAAGGCGAAAAGGCCGCTCGCGCTTACCTTCCGCGACGGCAATCAGCCGATTCACGTGATGGCAACCAGGCAGCAGGCAGGGAGGAAAACGGCGTCGACGGGTTTGTTTTCTTCCGAGTGTGTAGGTATGAACGATATTTCATGTTATCTACATGACAACAAAACTGTTTGTATATAGGTACGGTGTTTAACAAAAATTAAATTCGATAAAGGAAAATAGAGGAACTAAAAAGATTCAATCTAATCGTTTGGTGAAGTGCAAGCTGCAAGCTGTAAGGTGCAGTACTGGACATTGACCAGCTCGCTTTCACGTCTTACTTTATGACGTATAACAAATTGAGTTTTCGCCGATACAAAATAATAAATTGCGTCCGATGACGAGGGGGCGCAATAACGGGCACACTGGTAGCGTTGGACGTTTGTCGTATGCGAAGTCGGAGGCGGCTGTTGTGGCGGTGGTAGTGCGAGGACGCCCCGAGAATGTGTCGGGGGCGAAGAAGGCCGTACGGCGCGCTTATGAGCCAGTCACGTGTGCAATCAGCCCGCGCCAGAATGACAGACGTGAACATAATTTGACAGCAAATAAGAAGAATCGACCGAAGTGCGCGTGTACCTCTCTTTCCTTGTGTATGCTCTATGTGTGCATGTGTGCAGGATGGAAATGATTGCGAGGGGAACGTAACGATTAGATAATCTAATAGAAAATGCCACGTCACAACGAACTGGAAACTGCTAAAGTACTCGTCTCCACGGCCACCACCATCACCGCAGCCAATTTTTCGTTTTATTTTCTGATTGTACTTGATTGACTGACTTTCTGCGTTTGGTCGCGTTCGTGTATGCTAAAAAAGACGTCGAACATTTATAAATCCAACCAAAAAAACGTTTTTATTCAACCATCTTGTAGGTTTTATAAGGAATTAGCGAAAATATTCCGAAACGCTGGCGGTGGTGGAGGTGTTAATTCAATAAGTTGACATGAATTCCGCTTGCGAAATGCGAGCCGTTCGCTTTTTATCTATTCGCACCGTCCTCGTTATTTTTTCTTCTCGACTGACGCCTGCCCGCCGAATCCGATTTTCCCAATGAATGAAAAACGGCAATTGCCGGACGTTTAAGCGCACTCTTACACCCCGTTTTAGGTGCAACGTACTGCGCGCCGCGTGATGGAGGCGGCGGGCCGCACTCACATTCGCATGCACGCCGTCGGCGTGGTGCTGTTCTTCACGCATACACACCAACCTATATATACGTACATACCGCCGTCGTGTCTGCTGCCTGCGTGCGCGTATACGTGAGGGTGGCTCAAGGGAATAACTGCCTAACTCAATTTCAGCCAGCGCCGGGGGCCTCAATCAATAGACGCGTCGCGGTGGGGACCAATTACATGCCCACTTTCCTCGTAACACCGTTTGCATACATTTCGACTCTCGTAGCGCATTCGGATTCGCGCGCTCTCTTGTCTTAACCAAGCTTAATGCTCAAATCCGAAAATATGGATCTGCTTCGAATGATCCGCCGCGTTTAGCGTTAGCAAATGTCAGCAAGCTGACTGGGCTTATGTGCTTATGTTAATCGTCACTTGCAGGCGGACGCCTTCAACTCGTTCGGGCAATTACACGCGAATTGCCACTGTGGCCACCCTCGTTTAACGCGAGAACTGTTTCTTCTTGGCTTTGTATGTACGCTTTGAAAGTAGCCTTAATTAAGATATTCAATATGTGGTGTGTTGTCTCTGTGTTTACCGCGGTGCTTTTATGTGCAAAAACCACGACTGCTCGACGCTCGCGCTTCACTTTGCACGTTTGCGCACTTGAGAAAGACGTTTTTTTATTGTGCAGCGTTTGTCGTGACGTAGCTCTTATCGTCGAGTTAACAAGGTCAGGCCCGGTAACTCAATACCGAAGCAACAATGCTGCCCGCGTACCTACATCTACCTTCTTTTTGCGAATGAAGAGTGTATGAAGAGATTTAGCCACCTCGCAGCTGACCTCGCCGAGCGTGTTTCATCAGAAGGCATAAACCATCATCATGAGAAGTTATTTGCTCTCGGCTCGCTTCGAAAATATCTATCAAACGCATGTAACTCGAACAAACAATGATACGTGTGTTTAATCTCAATTATTTTCGGTGTTCTTCGAAATATTTACAAAGCCGTGGGATAATTTTCGACTCCATTCGGTGGCTAACTGCTATAATTGATTTTTCGATTCGGATGAACGCAAGTTTCGTGCTTGAAATATTTCGGTGTACTACAAACGGCTTCAATCAGCGTCGAATTCGTAGGCCGAAGAACACTAATTGTTTCTCATTCTTGTGTAACGTGATATTTAGTTGTGTGCCGATGCACAAACTTAAACATAATTTCAGCGTTTCGATGAATTAAAAATTATCGCAAATGCCTGCGTTGGTGATTCATTAAGTTTTCTCAATTTTGCCCTTTCTGCGTTCCTCACGCGAGCGGCATTTAGGCGGCGGGTGTGTGTATGTGTGTGGCAACGTGTGAGTGTTCGGCCGGTCGGTTCTAATGAGATAGGGACTTGCGCCTTAATTGGCCCGGACGTTAGTAATTATCTGCGAGCGCAGCCTCGAAGCTTGTTCGTTCGTTCGTTCGTTCGCTCGTCCTCGTGCACACACACACACACATGCTCATCCGTTAGCTCTGGCTTAGATCGCGCACCCGCAACGTGTTTACCATGGATGTGCGCGTTGCTCACCTATGGGGCCTCCCCATGGATATATAATAAACGCCGCTAATAAAGTAAACAGCTAAGTCTATTTTAGCATACGCGCGGCAATAAATCCAGCAGGATCCTCTAATTGGATGGGTGTTTGACAGAAGCTATGCGGAGAGCGCGTTTCGTCCCGTCGCGTTTTCTCCGGCTGGTGTGTGTGGGGACCCGGCAGCACACGGTCTCCCGGTCCTAGGAGTGCAGCCGAGTCCACGCCAGTTATGGTGGATGCGGTGAAAGACCGATCTATGCTAATACGGGACCCGAACCGAAGCAATTATTCAACCAAGTTTTCACGCAAATTGCAATTTTGTTGCGGTGATCATTACTGCGGGCTGTCTTGCGTACACAAGCGACTATAAGTTTTCCAATCACCAACAACAACAATCTACCATCAAGATTTAACTTTTAACTAACTAAAAGAAGTATAGAACAAGAACATTTGATATTTTTTGGGCAAAATCTTTTTCGCGCAATTGATTCATGTGTTGCGTTTTTTACTTAGTAAAATTTTGCTCGCAAGTGTACAAACAAAACACTATTGCTATCTACGCCACTTTAGTTGTGTGCATGTGTACGTGTATGGATATGCTGTTCTCTTCTCCACAGCCCGTAACAACACACTTCACACAGTTCGACGTCAGTACAAAAAGGCTGGCAACGTTTTTACCCTCATTAAAAGTTACACGCTGACGACCCGTGTGCATCAGCTTAAATTACCAGATCCTCCTTTTTAACAACGCGCGAACAGACGCAGCCATCGTTCCACACACATGTATGTACATGCTCGCAGAGTTTTTGCCACACTGACAACAATAACGCTAATTATCGGTTTTCTCTGCTCACCGACTCCAGCACGGTATCGTCTTATTAGGGAATGATTTAATGCCAAATTCGGTTTTCACTTACCGCCCGCCGCCAGTCCCATCGATAGGCACACATACATTCAAAGTAAATTCACGCACAAGGGGGAAGACAACGGCGTGCGAAAGCTTCGTGAGGCGTATTGTTCCATCGCGCCCATGTTTCGACACTAAATTAGCGCCAGCGTCATATTGTAAAAATCTCATTGTTGGCAGAGTCATAATGGGCGCATTAACAGACATAAATAAAACGATAAATTGAAAGACATTTAAAATTTGCATTTAAATCCAAGCTTACGCGCGCGGGGAACTTAATGGCGGGGGAGGTGCGGCGCAAGCACCATGAAGGAAGGAAGCGGAGGAGAATACACAATAAAACCGCGATGCACTTACAGCCGGGGATTCGAGTTACAACTAATAAGCCTAAGTAAAAACGGAACGCATACCTATTGCTGGGCGGATTATGCACTGATGCAAACAGAGCCAACGCCACAAGTGCGCCTCCTGCAGCAAACAAAATTGTGCGTTCGTAAAACAACGCCTGCAATTGTTCTTTGCGCGATGCAAACGAAGGGAAATCGTGCATGTGGGTGTAAAGCGCCTTGGGGGTGGCGTACCGTGCACGTTGCTCGCGCACACATTCATCCTCACACAAACAGTACGCATACATCGCCCCCCTGGATTCTAATTAGAACTATCTTATTGTGGAAAACGCCGCGATTATCCGCGGGCAGTTTGTGATTAACGAATCCAATTATAGTCACGTTGTGCCTGGGAAATTATTAGTTGTGCGCTGTTAATTAGATTACACCAGAAACGGAGCGTTAGATTGATTACTAAGCTAAATTTATCTCGAACGTTGCTCGCCGTGCCCCGTGTTGTTGTGTGTGTGTATGTATGTTGGTGGTGTGCGCGCTCCACTCCAAGCCTTCTCCATCTTCCTCGTGCTTGATAATATTGCAACCGGCGATTTTACTCGAATCCACAACGCCTGGAAATCCTAGAACAATAACTCTTGAATCGTGCACTTGCATTGTAATATAAATTGTTAAGCAGTGAATTCATCAACGAGGTTTGGTTTTTGGGCAAGAAGCAATTTAAAATTTCGTAGTAGGCCCGCGCCAATTATACGACAATAAAATGCGAGATAGTTAGATAGATCGAGAAATTTGTGCGATGTGAACTATTGCATTCATGCGCATGTTTATGTGTGTGCACGGCATGTGTAGACGTGAGAAGGAAAATTTGCGCAGCGGGAATGGCAAAAGTCAGTCGTCGCTGTGCGCTGCGCTGCGCACACGTAGCGCTCGCCTCGTTCGGTAAAGCGAGACAGCCTGAATAGGGTTTTAATTAATAAAGCTTCTGATACATAAGCGAGGGCTCCGAACGTAATTAGCAGACGCGGCCGCAGCGTGAGCCGTCAATCATGCCGATCACGTATAAGTTTCACGCGCGCGCAAATCCAGGCGAAAACACACGCCCGCCGCACCAACAACAACAAACAAAACCGTTGAAAAATCCTGGGCCCCGATGATGATGATCGCAATAATCGCGGTACGCGCCGCTGCGGGTAAAACGCAGGTAATTATTATAATGGTGCATAACTAGACGAATGGTGAGGCGCAACGAGGCCGACCATGAATAGGAAAAAGATTTGAGGCTGGATAAAATAAAGAAAGTGGAAAAAGGCGAATAAAAACAGCGTGTTGATAGCTGAAAACGCGCCGTGCGCGAACGCATGTTTTTGTATCTGTGTAGTAGTGGATTTGTTCATGGGTGTGTGCGCTGGGTCGGCGGCTGCAAGTATGCGAAAGTAGCGTTGTAAGCGTATTCATTACGAGAGCCATTCAAGTGTGGCGTTGCATAAAATTAATTAGCTGCCGTGTATGTACCGGCGTTTTAATAACGTCGGACGAAACCACCCCGACCTGCCCGCCTGTCACTATGGGGACTGATTAATGTCGGGACCACTTTACATTAACAATCCAGTAAATGCAAATTCGCATTTGATGAGCATGTGTCGTTGTTCTAATATAACGAACGTTATCTCTCGCAGCACGGTAGCAGTGGAGGCGGCGTATGGCCGGACGAGAGCGAGTTTTAAGTGCGCACACGTTATGCCCGAGAGTAACAACAAAACAACAACGAATAACGCGGCCGATAGGACGGAGGCGGTTGTGGTTGTGATGGTGGCGGGGCGGGTACATGATGGCACGAAACAATCCAGTCAGATAAACGGACGGTTGCGAACGATGCGATAGTTTGAGTCGTACGGAGCGTCGAACAGAGATGAGCAGTACACGCGCGCGAAATTCACCTTTTAATTATTTAGCGTTTCCACGTAATCTGCTCGACGCGCTCCCTCAATGCAAGCGAAAGTGCGCGTTCTGACGCTGTGCGTGTGCGGGTGTGAGCGACGCCGGCAGTGCGGGGTCCTAGAGAATTTTAATTTTCCCCAGATACGTTTTTAATTAATCCCGAAACTCGGGCAACTAACGGGCGGACAGAATGCTTGCCATTTTTGAGTTTTCATCTTGTTGCAACCGGCTTCCACGCCGCACGTGTACTCTCCTATTCTGATAAATGTTATGAAGTGTATTATTGTGTCCAGAATTGAATTCAGTTCATTTTAGAACTGCTAAATTAATGGCTAAATTCACAAAAATACGCTCAATTTTGGAGGACACTGTTATAATATTTTACCAGCGCTATGATTTCCTGTAATTGTATGTGATACTTGCATAGACCATGATTTTAAATGTTTGTTGGTGTGTGTGGCTGATTCTAATTGAACAAATCAAATAATTGCTCCCGCAGGTTATTCGGAAATTCGGGCGCGTGTTCGGCGTGTGGGCAGACGATTCCCGCCAGTGAGTTCGTGATGAGGTCCGGCGGACCATCACCACAACAACCTGGCGCACCGCCCCACGTCTTCCATCTGAAGTGTTTCGCGTGCAGCAAGTGCGGCGCGCACCTGGTGCCCGGCGACCGTTACTACATGCTGGCGGGTAGTCTTGTCTGCGAGCAGGACTGGCATAAGCTGCTCAAGACCTCCACCACGACGACAGTGCGCAAAGGAAAAGTTGGACGGCCTCGCAGAAGCAGAGATTGAGCATATCGGATCCTTCGACATCATGTAATATGTAAGTGTTTTATTCATTTTTATATTTTATATCAATTATATTGTACTCGTTGGAGTATTTACCTGTTGTCTGATCTTGAATTTGTTTACTCGCTCTAAATGATTACGTACGCGTGACTGCTCTGATGTAATCTAATTAACCTTCTCATCTTACGTATTTGTGCTTCTGCATCAGTTGACTTTGCTAATTTATTTGCCATGGTTGTTGTATTAAACTGCCATGAGCAAATTCTCTTCATCAGAGCCTTGCATTTACAAACAAAACCAAACAGAAAAAGTTAACAAGTATGAATAAAATGGTCAGTGAGGTGGTGCTCTCCTTGTGAATCATCGATGCGGAAACTGTGGAAACGTGCACGTATGCACGCGAAAATTCGCTTATCTGTTTTTGAGACCCAGGTATAATTAATAATTTGTATTAAAGCACATAGCGGTTTTTTCACCCTCATGGCACTCGCGTGCCACGCGCACTTTTTAACATAATTTTCGCTCGAACGAATCGCCTGCGCGAAGCGTAAATTGCCCCATTTCCTTTTCGCCAACGGCGTGGAATCCTGCAAGGCTTTTTATACAATACGATGAAGACATACCACAAAATCTATTATAATCAGTAAACTAAGCTTCGTTTTATGTTGCTTTCAAATAATGCAAACATGGTTCGAGGAATTAAAACATAAATTAATCTCGTAGTTCACAATTTTCAAGTGGTAAACAGTTTTTTCTTTTTGTTTTGATTTACTGATGTTAGTATGCCCTGCGAAGTTATATTATTACGCATGGTGGATATGTGGTGGACCTATTGTTATTTCATATAAAATAACATGCATTTAAAGCAATCGGTTTAACATCAGGTGAATAAAACTACTGATAACATCGATATAAAGCATTTTTACACATCTTGTTTATTGTCTATCGATGCATGTAGGTATCCTATTAAATATGAATCAAAATAATGGCGATTGCGGTTTGTATGCGGTGGAAATTTACGACTTATCGATAATAGAAGGGTCAATATTTATTAGTATTTGTTTGGCGCTGCTATTACGACGTCGTTACCCTCGCGCCTGGCGTGTATCATATTTTATGGAATGTGCGCTGAAACTTAATACGCGCCTAACATGAAAATGTCTCATTAAATAAAAATCAAGGTGAGTGCCAAAGGCCCACTAAACGATAAGTCATACGAAAATATACGCAAAAGTAACATGTCGCACGTGGTTGCATGAAGGAGTGCATGCATAAAATTTAATTTATTATAATGCGATAAGGTTTTACTCTTTTTCGCTTCTTGAAACTGAATGCATTGTTATTGTTTCGTGGGCAATGAAAAGGTTCCAATTTAAAACGAGATAGTTAAGGGAGTTCCGGGAAAATAAAAACACAAAAAAAAAACTTTGAGCAGTGGAGTCAATTAAAATGTTGATTTCTATTTGAGTTCTTAATTATCTTGTGTTTGGATTAATTAAATTGTTGGAGGAATCGACGACAAGATACCAAACGAAAGAATGAAGGAGGAAACACGAACAAACGAAAGTAAAGTAACCGGCTAACTTTGGCGGCGGTGTACATTGAGTTGCCGAGTGGCGCGCGCCAAGGACAAGGACGAAGGAACTCAAGATTACGATAGCGATACAAAAAAGGAGAATGAACAAGGAAGCAACTTTATTACAACAGACTTTCTCGGGTGCGTTTTTTCAGATCAGATGATAAAAGTATTACCTTCCGATATTAGTAATTAAGATACGTGATTAAATTAGGATGCACTGAGGCGCTGTTAATCACGATGTCTTAAAAGATTTCTTTGTCGATTATTTGCGGGGTGTTTGAATATCATAAACGCCGTTTTAATGAGCAGGTCGGGAAATTAATGGCATAACTTGGTTATGTTTTTTTTTTCTTTACGAAAAACCTGTTTTCTTTTCGTTTGAGTTCATTTAATTACCTCATTGTTTGTTCATCGTCAGTAATTTATTTTTTACTCGGACGACGTGCAAACACGATTTTTCCGTAGATTTATTATAACGTGGTGGAATTTCGGAAAGTGTGCGCGTTTATAAAGAATTTATGAATTATTTGAGGCAAACTTTAAATATTATAATTAACGAAGTTAGTTAATTATCTCGCTCAGTTTCTGATTTAATTAATAATTAAACCTCCCTTCTCGTATTCTATATAGGTATAGATAGTTAACAATTACCGGGACCGATCTCGTTCCCGCTCTCATCTTCCTCTTCTTCGCACGATGCCGCCACGGCCGACACACTCTCTCACTTAGTGCTTGCTGGTGGCCGAAGAATAGATATGCGTTGTTCGTTTGCTTGTATTGAGTAGCGAATCAACTACCATCCTTTGTGTGCTTTAATTAGACACAGCGCCGTTTTAAATCTGTAACAAGACTAAAAATGGCGAAGCACCAATAAAATGCGCATGCATGCCTCATTAATGTGTGCGCGCGTATTATAGCTAAACACTAACTAGCGCTCATTGCGCTGTGCTTTTAACAATGCCCCAATATCAATGCCACTGGCGCTGTGTGCCGTGCGCTCGTCGTGCATGTTTCCCCATATTTATTCGTTTCCCTATGGTTAGTTGGACGACTCTTCGAAAATATATTGCCATTCAATTTTTCCGCTTCATTCATTCCGCGGCGATATTTTATAATGATCATTAACGAGGGTGCTCGTTCGCTGTCGGTTGCCAACGCATAACGAAGACCTAAACGCGCGGATAACGTGCTTATTGAAGTTGCATTTTGTTTATTCATGCCTGCAGGTGCGTCGTTCATCTATTTGCCTCTGCAATTCTCGGCAATTATATGCAAAAATGTAACATATTGTTATTCTGCTTCATTATTTGGCTCCGAGGTGATTTCATGAACCGGTAAATTTGCAAATAACGAAGCAATTATTAGCAAAATAGCGCCATCGAAGTAATACACTAATAACCTCTAGTATTCAGCAAGTGTAAATTCAACATAATGCATTATAAAGTCTTTGATTTGGCAGTGCACCACGATTGCCAGCAGGGCATTGGTTTCCTACGCGTGCAGAAATTGCAACAAAGCTTCGAGACTATCGAATAACTAGGTAAATAGCTCCGGCGTTGAAAACGACAACTGGAGTTTCAAACAAAACCCTTTCCTTTGATGTTATACTTCCGGACACAATTTCGCATCGCACTAACCGGTCGAGGCTGGACGAGCGCAAACAGGCCGATCAGGTGAAACATTGAAACAAACCTTAGTGGTGTGCACGTAGCACGCGTGTTGTATCCACTCGACATGCACAAATGAAGTGCAGATAGATGTGTCTGCACGCGTATTAAATGCGCGCAACGTACACATAACTAATGCGTCGCTGATGGCCACGCTTGCCTGTTTGTGATATCCTTAATTACGTGTTGCACTTTCATTTCATACACCTTTATAATTGCGTTTATTTATTTCGTTAAGTTTTTTACACCGATTGTATGCGGCACAATTTCAAGCTTTTTAAATTCCTTCTAAAACTTGTAAAAACGAGGTTAGAATAAAACACGTGAAACCAATAAAAATGATCAAAATATATTCATAATGCTTACTTCCTATTAAAGTATTTATCTGAAACGTTTTTTAAATAAACTTTTTATTACCACTGCGAGTATTTTAGTAACTCAAAGGATTACGATGAGTAACTTTTTTTGGGACAAGATGACTCGTGCAAACTTAGAAATTTTAATTTATTTAATTTATTTCTGCACCATTAGTTCCACACGCGTGTTGACATGTGTCATGTGGTCAAAGGTCCAGATTTCAATTTACAAAATTTCTACCCAAAATGAAACATGATTCTAACTCCATCAATGTCATTTGCATACTTATCTCGCCTGTAGGCTTGTTGTTGACACCTTATTTCAATTTCTAATCAATTTGCATTAACATATTTTACATTCGAAGGCGTGCTTATGCTAATTGAATTTTTGTTGTTGATGTTTCGCCTTTTTTCTGGCATTTCTATCGGTTGGATTTAGCGGCCGCTCACTTCAATCACGCGCATCCTCGAGATTACAAAAAAACGCATTTGTATCGGGCCGGTGGATTTATTCGCATATTTTACTTAATTGCCACGAACTTATTTACATTCCACGAAATGTATTACACTTGCGAATAAAAACTTTATGAGTATAATTTACCAGATGACTGAATCGTCACACAAGTATGCTCGCGGACGCACACTCTGTAATTAAATAATTATTATATTTATTACACCCAGACACAAATAAGTCAATTATGTGCAATTATGTGTAATTGATTGTGTAGATAATTACTCAGCGCGATATTAATTGGACCAGTTTTTTTCTGCGCAAACGTCTCACATTTTGCATTCTTCATTTGCTTGTTTAATTTACCTGTACTCAGTGTAATGAATATTAATATGTCCAGGTGGACCTGGGCCGCGTAATTCAAAACCGTCAAGTGTTAAGGGTGTTAATGATAATCGATTTTGTTTAATCGTTCGAAAACGTGTGTACACTTCTTACACTAAGCTCTTGAGTACAAGTAGTGCCGGGCGAATCTCGATCACAATCAGGGCTGAGCGCTGAATACATTTAATTTTTCCCGCTGCTCTTACAGCAATCTTCTCTTTCTGGCCTCGTTCGGGCACTTAACTGGCAGTAAGCAAGCACTCAGTACAGATAAACTCCCTAGTACTATGGGCAAGTACGAGTGTAGAGGGTAATCTTTCTTGCTTGTAGAGCGCTCCTCCAATCTTTATTTGTATACAGTTCGTTTGAAGCTTAATAAATTTTTTTAACCCACAATATTCACCTATAATATTTCGGAACAAGTTCTTGTTTTTCTTTCTATATTTATTTTTTATTTTACGTTGTTGCTGATCCTAATTGAGATTATTCTCGATAAGCCGGTGGCAAATGAAGCAGATTGTATGTTTGTTGATACGTTCTATAGCGTGCTGGAGGCGGCGCACCAGCACCTAGTCTCGACGCTTCGTTCGATGGCTA